AAAAATACTTGGGTAGGGTTTTTTTGGGGAAACCTTGTTGGCACTTTACTTTAGTATTGGTGAGAATCTGGGGGGGAAAAGGGGGAACCTTTCATCGGGGGGGGGGGTTTACTAATCGTCTCCTGACATTAATGGTTGAACATGGTTGAACCATTTGTCGACTCTGTGCCACCTTGTTTGGCCTTTACCCGGCTGTACAGCTATGTTGAGAGTGCTGTTTGCTGGACAAGTGCAGCCGCACTCAATATTTTTTTGCCCCAACTGTTTTGCAACGTGTTGATGCCTGCGTGCTTTGAAGCAGGTGCACCATGTTATTCGCTGTCAAGTTTCTAAACAGCATCTTTGCGATTTCTGTCAAACGAGGCTACAACTCAGCTTCAAAACTGTCCCGCCGGCATGTGTTCGGCTAGTGGAACTGGAAGTGTCAATGGCAGGAGGCTTTGTCGCCTAAGACGTGTGGAGCTTCAGCGGTTTCAGCTTGATGAGTCAGAGAAAGGTGACGAAGCGTGTTGTGGAAATGAATTTCAACCAATGTTGCGGGGAAGAGCAGTGTGCTCACCGCAACGTTGCTGCCTGCACCTGTGTTTTCTCATGCAGCTGTTTGTGTGGCTTGATGCTTGAAAGAACCTAAGCTCCAGGCTGTTTTGTCAGTTTCCTGAAAGCTGTTCTTCTCTAGTCTATGTCATCAGATTGTCATTACAGGAATCTCCAAAGTAGGGCCCATGTGTGATGTTTCTTGACAGCAAAAGGAATTCACCTATTTGCAGTGGCCGGCCATATTACCAGGGTGGGTCCCCCAGTTGAGACGCGGCCATTTTCCCCAAGTCCAGGAAAATGTGTACCTTGGCCGGCGCCTTACGAGGGTGGGGGAGTTGGGGATGCCAATCCCCGAAGCATGCCCAGCCAAAGCCGTGTGGTTGGCAAGAACGAGCAACTCATTGACCAATGGAGAGTGGAGTTGCGACTCTGTGGCTAGCTTCTACCAGGTTCTCCAGCCCAGTTTGGCTGGCAATGTCCCAACGTCCCAACTCCAACGTTGCGGTGTCATGTTCCATGGGTTTACAGTTTGTTTGCTCAGCGGAAACCACTCCGAGGGTTACCTCCCGGTTCAGCTGCGAGGTTCTGGCCGGTGCTTCCTTGGTCCTGTGTCACCGGATCTATGGAAGCCAAACCGGACATGGGCCGGAGGAATGTCTACCCGCGTGAACCCTGGTAGGAAGAACCGCTTCAAACCATTTTCGGCTTTCTCTTGGGATCACACCGTCCCATCCAGCCGACCGCCAATACTACTTGATGCGCCCACCAACAAACCCTGGATGAAAGACGCCCCTTTCGGGCCTCAAAAAGTAACATGAACATCACATCTAACTTACAAAGCCTATTGCCGATACTGCGGCCAAAACATGCACACCCTACATTTTGTTGTGAATCCAAAGATTGCTTCCAAATCTCACAAAGTCAGCTTGCGAGACACAGCTTGTTTCGTTTACAGCTTGTTTGGACAATGCCCATTCCGGTTGAACAACTCGCAAAGGGCACCTCCTTCAAGGCCAGCCCACAGGTCCATGAAAATAGAAGCCCCTCGATTTTCCCTGTCCTTATTTGCCAGAGATGGGGGCCCAATGGAGAAGACTGGAGAGGACTGGAGAGGTCTGGTCCAAGCTGGGGTCCCCAAATTCCGGTCTTCAGGACATTGCAATGGGGTTCAAGAATCAGGGGTGAACCATACTTGCATGTGCCATGGTCGAAGGGGAGAGATTCTTTCCAGAGGTCACTCGCAGCTGGTCTGGCAGTAAGACAGCGGCTGCTTGCCTGCACTTGCTGTGCACAGACATGACTTAGCTGGCTTTTTTTTCTCAAAATGGTTCGTGTTAGTCGCACAAGAATGAACTTAGACTTGAACATGTATGCGAATTGCTTTGCGCAGTGTAGGGAAATGAGTCCAACAAGACTGCGCCGTTCCGCCAGCAGAAAAGCCTGCATTGCACAGTGATCACACAGGAACATACTAGTGGCATGTTGCAGGTTCTCACTTTGCATTCGGTCAGACCAAAGTCAGTGTTTTCTGCCTCCGGAACAACACGGGAATGCCACCATATTTAAGGGCTGCCGCCCTGTGCCGCCGGCCCCTGCTTGCTGAAAGTGCACGTTGTTATGACAATTAATTATGACTACGCATTTTTTGTTGGGTTCAACGGCACACTTAAAGCATATATGAAAAGAAGAGCAGCACGACAATGATGATATTTTTGATGATGCAATTTTTTACCCAACATTAAGGATGCTGATAATTATTACCCTGCATTCGCATTATCGTCAGCAGCTATGATGATAATTGTTACTTTGCATTTTTGGCATCACCAGCAGTTGTTCTGATCATTATGACGACGCATTCCCTGCATCTCAAACAAGCCACTGCGGGATAAACTCGCATGACAATAAGTGCCTTTTTGAATTTTACAAGAAGTGCCCCAGGTGTGTGTGGAAACTCGGGCAGGAAAACCATGTTGGGGGCCTGTTTTTCTTCTCAAGACTTCGATGTATTGCTGGACTTTGTGCCATCGCTTCGTCTTCGCGAGAAGTATGCTGTTAGGAACATTTCGGGATGCAATCAGATGGTGATGGTGATGATGATCATGATGATGATGAACTATGCACCCCCGGCATCACCAGCAGCTATTATGACAATCATAACTGGGCATCCCCTGCATCTCAAGTCAGGTCTAACGGCACACTTATGTCAAAAAGAAGGGCGCCACATGATGGGAACATGACGATGATGATGATGATGATGATGATGAACATGATGATGATGAACATGATGATGATGGTGATGAACATGATGATGAAAATGATGATGACGATGATGATGATGATGAAAATGATGATGACAATGATGATGATGATGATGATGATGATGATGATGAACACCACCATTTTCATCATCATGTTCATCATCAACATCATCATCAGTTTCATCATCATGTTCATCATCATGTTCATCATCAACATCATCATCAGTTTCATCATCATGTTCAGCATCATGTTCATCATCATGTTCATCATCATGTTCATCATGTTCATCATCATCATCATCATCATCATTTTCATGTTCATCATCATCATCATCATCATCATCATCATGTTGATCATCATGTTCCTCATCATGTTCCTCATCATGTTCATCATCATATCCTGATGATAATCATCACTACACATGCTCAGCATCACCAGCACTGAACGTCATCACAACGCATCCCCAGCATCAGCAGCAGTTATCATGACAATCATGACAACGCATCTTCTGCATTTCCAGTCGGGTCTAACAGGACACTTGAAACGTTTGTGAAAAAGAAGAGCGCCACGGTGTGAAGAAGAATGATGAAGATGATGATGATGATGATGATGATGAACACCACCATCATCACTTTCATCATCATGTTCATCATGATCATCATTTCATGTACGTTTCAAGTGTGCTGTTAGACCCGACTGGGAATGTTCATCATCATCATCATCATCTTCATCATCATCTTTATCATCATCATGTTCATCAAAACCGTGGCGCTCTTCTTTTTCATGTACGTTCCAAGTGTCCCGTTAGACCACGTTCACTGCTGGTGATGCTGAGGATGCGTAGTGATGATTATCATCATCATCATCATCATTTTCATCATCATGTTCCTCATCATGTTCATCATCATCATGATCATTAATCATCACCACGCATGTTCAGCATCACCATCATCACTTTCATCATCATGTTCATCATGATCATCATCATTTTTCATATACGTTTCAAGTGTGCTGTTAGACCCGACTGGAAATGCAGAGGATGCGTTGATTGTGATGATAACTGCTGCTGATGATGCCAAACATGCTTAATGATGATGATGATGATGAACATAACAAGGAACATGATGATGAAACTGATCCTCAGCATTATTCCCAGCATCAGCAGCAATTATCATGACAATCACGACGATGCATCCTCTGCATTTCCAGTCGGGTCTAACGGGACAGTTGAAACGTATATGAAAAGAAGAGCGCCACGGTTTTGATGATGAACATGATGAGGAACATAATCAATCAGCAGCAGTTATCATGACAATCATGACAACACATTCTCTGCATTTCCAGTAGGGTCTAACGGCACACTTGAAACGCATATGAAAAAGAAGAGCGCCACGGTCATGATGATGATCCGGATGATGTGAACCATCACCCAACATCAATAATGATAATAATCATCACTTAGACAAGGACAAAGACAAACCCTTCCCATGCGCCTTCGCTTTGTGGCGGATATATATATATATTATACGTATGTATGTACATTTGCTGTCACATCGCCAGATGTTGGTTTGCATCAGCCCCCCGTATCTCATGGGGCAGTCGCTGTGGGTATAATATGTATATATTTAGTTGCTTTGTGTGTTTGTGTGTCCTTTTTGTCTTGCTTTCCAGAAGTTCTTGTGACTTTGAGGATGCCAAGCGCACGATGGCAAGAAGATGTGCCCTGATACATTTTTCAAGCTGCAGCTGAGCATGCACGAAACAGCACTGCCAAAAGGCAGTTCGCTGGTTGAAAAACACATACTACGGGCACAAACCAGAACCAACATACAGCTCATCAATAGATCTTCAATGTGAGGACGTCTCAACATTAGTTGGAACCCCATACGTTCTGGGAGCAAGCCCAACAGCAAGGCTGCGGTGCTTTGCGCGTAGCTTGGAGTCGGAGAAGGACTTGGACCAAGCGATCGCAAGCCAGGTGTCCCAGCTGTTTTGAGAGAAGGGGCACAGAACAGCTTTACGGGCTCGTTCGCAATGAGCATCCCCCAATTTGGAGTCTTGACATGGCTCAATCGCTTGATGCAGGTTTCTGGTCAGATGGAACGCCTTGGTTTACCTTTTCTGGAAACAAACAAGTGACCGAGTGAGCAAAGCGGCTTAGGTCTACTTGCCCAGAGAGTCAGGAATGTGAGGGAGAGCCGACGCGTGGCTGGCTCAGCTAGCTTTGCTGCAGCTGCTTTGCAACAGTGAGCTTTGCCATGCTTCTCTCACAGCCAGGTCTTTCACGCACCACTTCACGGAGAGAGAAACGTCTTGGGATCATGAGAAAAGCATGTCACGTAGAGCTAAAATCGTCCATGACACCATTTCGCATGTTGTGAACTACTGTGCTACATAGGCAATGTTACACCCTGGACCGGATGTGTCTTGAGCTTCGACCCAGTCAGGATGGGAATCCCGGTTGCAGTGCACGTTCTGGTCACTTGTGAAAGGGCAACGGTGTAACAGCAGGGCTTGAACATTGTTCTAAGAGAGACTGACAGCATCATTGTTTCGACTGGTTTGAAAAGGATGGTGCTCATGTTCACCTGAATAAGGAAGAAATGTGAAACACATACAGTCAGGTACCGGTCTGGAGGGCATTCCAGTGCCAGATGGGCGGGACGGGTTGTTTTTGCTTTGGAGGCTAATATGTGCCATTTGGTTGGGATTGACAGTTTGGAGAATCAAACTTGGACCTCCACCACAGTGTGGCCCAGGTCCCGGTGTCGTCACTGAAGGCCAATGAGTCGAGCGATCTTGAACTGTCCGGCAGCTGTCATACACAGTTTGCACTTGGTGGACAAAGCAGTGAGTTTTGCAGGGCCTTGGCAGTCTGACAGCGTATTTGGTCACAGGTCGGACGCAGACTCACTGGCATTGTGCGAGACATCGTCTCCTTTGGCGTTTTCGTTGACGTCGGAGCGCAGCGCGATGGCCTTGCGGCAGGCTCAGTTCATTCCGAGACTTGGCAGGTCTCACGTGAAAGCTCTCATTTGATCTCTGGGCCATCCAATGCACGTCGCCTGTCCATCATTTGGGACAAATGTTTCGGACTGACATCTGCGGCAAGCTGCGGAAGAGCAAGTTGGTCAACTCTAGCTGGCAAACAAGCTACGCATCCCAACGCCACAAGTGGGATACAGATTGGGGATCCAAATGGCTTCTATACAATACATAGGTTCAGCTTGCACGAAAGGACAATCGTGTGTAGCATCCTAGAGCCCATTTGTTAGAGCCCATTTTGGGTCATCCACCAGATGGGCGTGTTGAGGATGCAAGGAATGAAGCATAGGTTACGTGCATAATTTGTAAGCTTACATGCAACACAATTTATCCATCGCGCCTCATGATAAACCTTCTTATCCCTCCCCTCATAATCAAGACCCCAAAGGATGCATGTCGTGTTATTAGGCGGTCCTTGATGTTTGAGGCCGAGTTGGCCATGTGTGTTATCTTGGTTTCATTCATGTTTTTTGCGTGTGTGACAGGATGCCATCTTCAAGCAAACGAAATAACCAACCCAGACTTTGTCATGTGTTCATATAGGGGACTACATTGAGCATTTGCTTGCAGAGCATGCAAACGGCACCCTGATGACCCGCTACTTGGGGTCGGTGATAATCAAGTTGTTTTAGAACGGAGGGCCATTTTTTTTAGGATTTTTTTTCGTTTTTTTTTAGGAATTATTTTTGTTTTTCAGGGTGGGTGGCTTTTCGGCTTTTTGGCTTTTGTGGCTTTTACGTGGGTTTTTGTGGCTGTTGTAGCTTTTCTTTTCGCATCCTCTGCATTCACAGTTCCTCTCTTTCGCATCCTTTGCATTGCCAGTTCCGCTGGCTTTTTGGCTTTGTGGCTTTTGGTGGCTTTCCAAGTTTGGCTTTTCGCATCCTCTGCTTTCCCAGTTGGTTTTTGGCCTTGGCTTCCTGCATCCTCAGCATCGCAAGTTCCTCTCTGGTGCCCCCCGCCACCCCCCTTTCGATACACGCCTAAATCACTTTTTCGATCATCATGTGACAGCTGCTTTTTAGATTCTTTGGCTGCCGTTTTACAGGGATTAGTTTGCCCGTGATTGAATCCTCACTTGTGCCATGAGGCCTTGCCACAGAGGAACTGATGACCCCCCGCTGCTTTTTTATATTTTTTTGTCCCTAATTGAATCATCACTTTTTCAATCATCGTGGGGGGGGCTGCCGCCCCCCCCAACCCCCCCGCTATTTTTGGGACTTTTTGCCCCTATTTGAATCATCACTTTTTCGATCATCATGCGACCGCTACTTGTTAGGTTCTTTGCCCCTAATTGTTCGATCATCATGGGGGGGGCTGCCGGGGGGGGCTGCCGCCCCCCCCAACCCCCCCCGCTATGTTTTAGACTTTTTGCCCCTGATTGAATCATCACTTTTTCGATCTGCAGGGATTAGTTTGCCCGTATTTGAACCCTCACTTGTACCATGAGGCCTTGGCGCAGAGGCACTGATGCCCCCCCCGCTGCTTTTTTATATTTTTTTGGCCCATTGAATCATCACTTTTTTCAATCATCATCCCCCCCGACTTTTTGCCCCTGATTGAATCATCACTTTTTCGATCATCATAGGGGGGCTGCCGCCCCCCTCCCCAACCCCCCCGCGCCTGTCATTGAATCATCACTTTTTCAATCATCATGGGGCATCCTCACTTGTACCATGAGGCCTTGCCGCAGAGGAACTGATGACCCCCCGCTGCTTTTTTATATTTTTTTGTCCCTAATTGAATCATCACTTTTTCAATCATCATGCGACCGCTACTTTTTAGATTCTTTGCCCCTAATTGTTCGATCATCATGGGGGGGGCTGCCGCCCCCCCCCAACCCCCCCGCTATGTTTTAGACTTTTGCCCCTGATTGAATCATCACTTTTTCGATCTGCAGGGATTAGTTTGCCCGTATTTGAACCCTCACTTGTACCATGAGGCCTTGGCGCAGAGGCACTGATGCCCCCCCCAGCTGCTTTTTTATATTTTTTTGGCCCTAATTGAATCATCACTTTTTCGATCATCTTGGGGGGGGCTGCCGCCCCCCCCCAACCCCCCCGCTATTTTTTGGACTTTTTGCCCCTGATTGAATCATCACTTTTTCGATCTGCAGGGATTAGTTTGCCCGTATTTGAACCCTCACTTGTACCATGAGGCCTCGGCGCAGAGGCACTGATGCCACCCCGCTTTTTTTTTATATATTTTTTGCCCTAATTGAATCATCACTTTTTCAATTATGGTGGGGGGACTTTTTCGATCATCATGGGGCGGCTGCCGCCCGCCCCAACACCCCCGCGCCTTTAATTGAATCCTTACTTTTTCAATCATCATGGGGGGGGGGCATCATGCCGCCCCCCCCCAAAAAAAGGCTGCCGCCCCCCCCAACCCCCCTGCGCCTTTAATTGAATCCTCACTTTACCGCGAGATGCGAGAAGCCAATTTGCTGGTGATGCTGGCGATGTTGCCTGGACATGCGGGGGATGTTGAAAACGATGCTGATGATGTTGACGGACGCGTAAAATACGTACATTTCGCGAGAAAATGCTGTAAATTACAGCATTTTGGCCAGGACGGAAAACAACAAAAAATCCAAAAATAAAACAAAAAAAAATCCCAAATTAAATCTCGACCCTTTTAGAACTGTGTTAATATTGGCCTAAGTCTAGCTTTGATTTGGGGAATTGGTGGTTTAGCAAGAAAATGCTCTAATTTGCAAGGGGAATGTTATTCTTACAGTAGTGGACATGAATTGGTGTTGCGTACCCATATGTTTCGTGAGCAGTAGTGAGTGTGATCTTCCCACCCGAGTTTCACACGGACTCACCCCCACAACCCAGCATTAGCATGTTGCGCCATCATGCCCTTGCCCAATTGAATTTGGCTACAACCATTCAAAGCTGAAACTTGCATATCACGCCACATCAGTTTAGTAGTTGTGAAAGTGCTAAAGAAGAAGCAGGCTTGAGCAGCTGCTTTGCATTGATTTTACATTGGTGTTTGGCACAAGCCACCAGCTTCCACCAGCACAAAGTATGCCTTAGCGCGATGTTCCGAAGAGATGTGAATATGTGAACGAGGCCAGTCAGAGTGTTGTGAACAACTTTGCCCAGGTGCCAACCAGCCTTCTCTCAGAAAAGTACGTTACAGACGTGTATGAGGAGGGGGTGTGATGTGGTTTGTTTGGCAGAGCCGGGGGGCCAGCCACCCCTGGCGTGGATGGGGAACCACCAACTGTGCTAATTTGAAGCAGGGCCGCTGTCTCGCATACATGCAGTTGCTCAATATACTTGCTGTCAACATCCACTGTCAGATGTGAGTGCGGGCTTACGCACACACCTACGTGCGAGCTCACTCTGTGCGCGCTTGCCGTGGGCTTGGCTTTCGATGCTTCGGTCCATTGCTAAGCTATTTCCTTTCAGTTTCTGTTGGTCGATGTCAAATCGGGGTGCCAAACGCAAGCTCTTTGCCCTTCCAGCCTTGTGGACAGGTGAATGACGCATAAGTGCCTCAAAGTGCTCATTCGAGCTGGGTACTAGTACTTCCATTTGCTGAAGACTATTCTTATGTTGCCCTGTTTGTTTTAAAGGGAATCTGTCACCATTGGATTCGTCTTTTTTTTCCAGGGGGCTTAAGCAAATGGAAGAGTACCCTTCTGAAAGAGGCCGTACAAGAACTGATTGGATCCGATGTAGCACGCTCCCCAAACACGTGCCTATCACAGAACCCATGCCTTTCAGAAGGTTCAGCTCAATACAAGAATAGGAGCTTCTGTACCTCATGGCGAGCTTTGCAGGTTTGGCTTACAGCAGATGAATCCAATGAGTCATTAAACGCCGAGTTGCAAGCCGTGAATTCTTCTTCCCCGCGGTTGCGCATTGCTCGCTGCACTCAGGAGGTCATGCCGGGCCAGAAGGCCAAAACGGGAAAACGGGCGAACCTTGGCGTTCAGAATCCAGCGGATGAGTAATTAGTTGTTGGTAAAGGGGAGGGTGTAACAAGGCCTTGTTTGAGGTCAGTTGCTGTACTTCCAAGAAGCACCATTGCATAAGCCTTTTGTGTTGTTTTCTCCTGCTTGTGGATCTTGCAAGCGAGGACCAACCAAAGCATTGATTTCTGCTGACCTAAACAGGGATGTAGTGATAGGAAGTCACAGAAAGTGTTGAGTGTGGCGTCCACAAACTGGCGCAGCTTTTGCAGGGGTTGTAAGTTGTTGGCCCGTTTGCTCGATCTCTAATAGCGACCCTGCGCTTTGTTTGTGTGGGGGTGTGTAAGTTTGCTTGCTTGCTTGCTTGCTTGTTTGTTTGTTTGTTTGTTTGTTTGTTTATTGGTTTTTCGTGTTGTTTGTTTGTTTGTTTGTTTGTTTGTTTGTTTGTTTGTTTGTTTGTTTGTTTGTTTGTTTGTTTGTTTGTTTGTTTGTTTGTTTGTTTGTTTGTTGAGTTGTGTTGTGTTTTGACAGAGGCGGTTCTGCATAAACACCTGTTTTCATATTTTGGGCCCAAACGGGCTTAAAACCCCGGACAACCCCCCGGACAAACCCCCGGACAACCCTCCGGACAGCTTTGAGGGCACAAAATCGGCGGGACAACTCCCCGGACAAACCCCCGGACAACCCTCCGGACAGCTTTGAGGGCCCAAAAGCCAGGGACAAACCCCCGGACAAACCCCCGAACAACCCTCCGGACAGCTTTGAGGTCCCAAAAACCCCGGACAAACCCCCGGACAAGTCTTCGGACGCTAAAACCACTCGGAAACCACTCGGAAACCACTCAGAAACCGCTCGGAAACCACTCGGAAACCACTCGGAACCCGCTCAAAACCCGCAGGAGGGGGGGTTTGCAGCATAAATCTCGGCAAAGTGCGCGGACAACCCTCCGGACAACCCTCCGGACAACCCCCCGGACAACTTGCCGGACAATTGTTTGTCCAGCAGTTTGTCCCGCACTTTGTCCGGCAATTTGTCTCGCACTTTGTCCCGCGTATCGAGGGGGGTGTTTATGCAGAAGGGCATTCGTCAAGTTGTGTTGTGTTTTGTGTTGTTTTGTTTTTGTTTGTTTGCACATTTGTATGTATGCATGCTTGTTTGTTTGTTTGTTTGTTTGCTTACTTAATTGTTTAGTCTTTGTTTGTTGTGGTTTGTTGTAGTTGGTTGGTTTGGTTTGGCTCGGCTTGATTTGGTTTGGTTTGCTGGTTGGCTGGCTGGCTGGCTGGCTGGCTGGCTGGCTGGCTGGCTGGCTGGCTGGCTGGCTGGCTGGCTGGGTTGGTTGGTTGGTTGGTTGGTTGGTTGGTTGGGTATAAAGCTCGAATAATCTAAATATTACAAAAAACACGGTTCAAAGGATATGTAGAGCGACAGAGGGCCTTTGTATCACAGTCGACGCGTTCCCCCTGCTTGTAGCTTGTATGTGTGGTTTGCTTTTTGCTGTGCATGCGTTACATCAGGTTTGCCAACAAACAATGCTGCCCGGAAACATGTGCCCAATCCAAAAAGTGGACCATGCAACTACTTGTATCCAGCTTCTATACTGGTGTTCCAGTCTTGTCCCTTCGCGGAGAAGCCAGTGCGCACCCCTGTGTGCTGACTGGCTGAGACCTCTCAGCATTAGCGCAAGGATCAGTCCTGGCCTGCAATGGGTTTCAAGAAGCAACAAAGTTGGAGCAGGTCCTGTACCCGTTATGAAGTAGCCATGGAAGCAGCACGGGATGAAGGAGGTTTGTTGAAGGATGATATACAGGTTTGAAATCGTTTCGCATCTACTGTCAGAATTGCGAGGAATAGAGCCACTGTGCAGGCATGGCTAGTAAGTGCTTTCTGAGTAAGTGCCATGAGTTTGTGGCTTTCAGCTGAGCCAGGTGACGGTTTGGGTGGCGGAAGTGAAGGAGAATGGACAACTGTCAGAGCCTTAGCAGTTCATGTTGGTTCTCGCCAAAGTGACTTGAATGTTGATCACAAAAAGTGGTCCTTGGAAAGAATCCTTGTTTGCTAGGGGCTGCCGAACAGCTGGCGAGGCCATGCACACATTCTTGATGAATCTGCCCGGGCTTGTGAGCGACAGACAGCAGCTTTAGCACTGATGGAGGCGGTCAAGTACCTGAAACACGCCATGCTGTGATCGCGGGGTTTCGAGCAAAGAATTTGGGCAAAGCGAGATAAGATACTTGAATTGTTTTGGGCAGGGTCTCGGTGTATGCCGCATGTGGTCTCGGTGTATGCCGCATGTATTTTGTTTTGCTCGTTTCCCACCCAGGGCAAGCTGCAACACAGCATTGGTTTACACATGGTTAGCTTTTGAGCATGTGATATTTGTAAGGAGACCCAGCTGTAAACGGCAGCCAGTGAGTGCAGCATTGTGCGGAGTCAGGTCCTTGGCAATGTTTCCTTGGCATCGATTCAGAGGCAGGGTGGCCGCTTCGGGAAACAAACACACTGACAGAGCAAGACACAAAACAGCGCGAATCATCGGCGCGTGTGGTTTGATGGAGTACCTCCAGTCCAATAGGTTGATGTCGGCATTTGTTGTCGCAGATTTAATGTGATATTGCCATGCATATTGGATCATATTGGTGTATGACGTTCCACGGATTGTAGACAGGTGCACAGGCCAGTTGCCACCGAATTCAGGCTGAAAGTCAATGCCGTCTCGCTGTCAGGCAATTTAGCTTTGAGCCGGAAGCCGACACATATTCCTTTGAAAACATTGTTTTCTTGAAGGTTCCTGACAGCGGAATACCTTGAAGAGTGCCACCAGTGCTTGTGCGTGCAAGCACTTGACCTGCGTAGGCCTCAAGCCACTGTCATTCTTGTCGTGCTGCTGCTATGTCTGTTGCTACGAGTTTCTTTCAGGGCCAAAGTTGTGCCAAACCACGTTGGCAGGCAAGTCGGAGTCTCGGCCCGAGGCTGGGCAAAGCATGGCAAATTTGGCCCCTTCAAGTGCCATTGGCTCATTCCTCAGGCACGCTGTGCCCGCAGTTGCAATGAGCTTGTGAGCAGCCAGCTTGGCTAGTGAATTCGGTTTTGTAGCATCCCCCTTCCAGGAGAGCACAGGAGCTTTTAAGATTGTTTGTCATTTTGGGGAGGGTCACAACTATGATGACTGTTTGCACCCTGCTGACCCGCAAGCCGGTGTAGGCAGCACAGCGTGCCAGCCGCACTCTGCAAGCAAACTTCAGCTACATGCATCCTTGGTGTTCTGCTGGTATCTCCAGAGATTGATCCAAACGCCGTGCACAGATTTTGGCTTCGGTTGGCCGCTTCATGCTGCTCCTGGGCACATTGAGCCACATCGAGTATCGTGGTGTTAAACATGTGTATTGGGAGATCCTGGGAGTTAGGGTTTGCAGGTGGATTCGGGGCTTTGCATTGAGATGGGATAGCATGGATGCACACTTAGGTCCGACCGACCAGCTTTGATGTCCTTTCGTTGGATAAAGTCTGATAAAGGAACTCCACCTCAAGACGGGGTTCGCTGCTGCTGATGCTGCAATTAACATCAATTGACTGATTCCAATTATAGATAAGGGTCTTCCCATTTTTCCGCATGGGATCGTCTTGCTTTTTTGGAGGGAGGGTCATTGACGAGGGGTCAACAATACTCAAGCGAAGTTGTAGCACGCAGCAAGTTGGAGCTAAATGTTTCATTGGGCTACGGAGAGTTTTTTTTTTTTTTTTTTTTTTTTTCCGGCCATTCGATGACATCGCACGTTGTTCCATGTCTGCGGTGTTTCCAAGAAGTTGCATCTCGTGCGGAGGCTGCTGGACGAGGACCTGAGCGCCCGTTAGGATCACCCCCAGCGCGAAATGAGAGATCAGCGTTGCAGCCACCTCAAGGTATTTTGAGATCCGTGATCCGTGGTGACATACGCAACTGTGGCGTGTCGCATGTTGGAAATGCAGGAGTCTACACACAGGCACGAGTGGTTGTGCGTCCTTGTGTTGGACGATGCTTGCTGGTCAGGCAAATGCCAGCGAAGCTGCAACTTGCCCACAATACAGTAATACAGTGGCTTGTTCCTGCAATGTACGTTGATTGGAGAGTAGTTGTTTTTTTCTACTCAACCGACATTGCACCGAGATGGCTTACATAGCAGAAGAGTCGAGCATGGAATGCCAGCAGACAACCTAGCCAGCATTCTTCAGCTTCTGCCCGTTGTCCAGGTTTTGCTTTGACTGCCAACAGCTTGAGCATTGCACCCACATCGAAGAGTAGTGTATTCGCAGTTGACACTGGAAGACTTTTTTACAACGCGTTTTGGGTGGCCGCGACATTGGAGGAACACTGACCAGATGTTTGTACCAATTCACTCCACGCTCTTTCGCACTGCACTCACACTACCCCCCCGCACAGCTGCGCCCGGATGCCATGGTCCGCAACTCAGGTCTTGCATACTTGCAGGCAGTTGGCCAGAAGGGGCTGACTGCACAAGGGCACCAGTGCCAGATGATTTCGATAGGGGATAGGCATTTGGTTCCCGACTGTGTGCCATAGTGTGTTCTGTTAGATGCTTGCTGGCACTAGACAGATCGTCATCGGGCCATGATTAATCGGTATCCCTGACTTGGTTTTAGAAGAGTGCGATTTTTTCTTCTGCCTGGTTTTTGATTGGTCGAGTCACGTGGGTTGAAGTCCGGAGGCTTCCCTCGTTGACTAAAATTCAGCAAGTGCGTTCATTCAGGCTGGGCCTGGCGTCCTTGCCTCGTTTGTTTTTGCTGCTGCGGCTGCTGCTGCTGCTGCTGCTGCTGCTGCAGCTGCTGCTGCTTACGTTCGGTGTTGCAGAATGTCCCCAACTCTGTGGCAGCATCGAATGAAGTGCAAGGCCTCCGCTGTGAGCGTAGTTGTTACATTCCGTCCGTCCCCCAATGCTTGTAGCAACCATCGATGATGTTTGCTGCAACGGAGCATTGGTGGGCGTGTTGATTGATCCTGGGCGTTTCAGCCTCATTTGTCAGCTCCCTTATTTGTGGAAGTGATGACGAGCTACGGACGGCAACACCAGCTTGAACAGGCTGCTTTTTCTTCAGGGATCCTCAAGTGGTCACCGCCGTGTGTGGCAAGGCTCCCGCAAACGTTTGGAAGAGCCTTCTCACCAATCGGACACTTGGCTTCCTGTTTAACTATCCGGGTGGGTTTGAACCCAGAAGTTCGGGCCAATGTTGGGACAAGTTGGAGGGAGTCTGGCTTAGACCTCCATCAGAAAACGCTATTCTACCCTTGTGAAGGGTTCGGGGAGTAGCCCTGGGATGCCCTGGCTCCGTTTACCTAAGATATGTTGGAGATATGTTGGTTCAAATGCCTCTGATTGGAAGCACCATTGGCTATTTGATGATCAAGATTTGATTTCAAGCAACCTCAAGCTTATGATTTATGGGCCCCAGCGTGAGACGACGGTGAATTCCACTGCTTGCCTGGAGTCCTCCGCCAAACCACTAGCATGTTGGCAATGTGGAGCTGGCTAAGTGACGTGCTCCATTTTGCCTTTCAGAGAATGGCTCAGACTCAGACTGCGCTGGTTTTGAGCTGGAAGCGGCTGGTGAGGTGAGCCCGGCGCTGATCTTCAATGGCGCCATCTCTGGCTTCGTGGGCGCCGGGAAGCGTAGATCGCCCTTTGAAGGAAACGAACGGAACCCAAGGAATGACCTGGAGGGCCTCACAAACAAAGGTTGGCTAGTGTTCATTTTGCCAACTCTAGATTTCAGCGATGCTCTCCCCTTCTTGTGCTTTGATTTATGCCCACTGGGTATTGTGAGGTTCGTGACTCATAACTGGACAAAAGTGTTCTCTTGCTTCCGGGAGAACTGCAACAGACGTTGTTGTCAGGATGTTAGCCAGCCATTGCTAGAGAATAATGCTTGTTTTATCCTTGGGATGTATTGTATTACGTCGCTGAGTCGGTTGCGTCCTTGCACAGAGTGCCATCGTGGATAGGAACCAAAAATGTCCGGAGTTCCAGGCCGTGCCGTGTTCCCCTTGCATGTATATCCCTCAAGGAACAGAGAGGAAATGGAGTTGAGATATTTTGCGTGTGCGCAGAATCACTGACGGGTTGGCTGCTCTAGGTGTTCCTTTGCCAGACCACGCCGATCCATGCATTAGTGATTGTGCGTTCTTGGCTGTTGATTGTTTGTTTATTAAACACAGTAGCTTCTTTTGCTGTGAAAAGGGATATCGACATTGCCCGTGACAACAATTGTTTTTGGAAGCTCCAATAATTGCCTTGACCAAATTCCTGTTTGCATGTGTGGGCGTCCCCTTGGGAAACAGTTTGTATGTTGATTCCATGTTTGGAATTTGCGGATTGCATTATCTTGCTCACATTGTTAAATCCTGGGAGGCTCTACAGAGCTTTGCCAGATTCATGAGGCACAATGGGGTTAGGATCCCAGGCCAGATGACAAAGAATGCGACATGGAGACAAGTTGGATGTACTGATTGTGACATCCACAGACATCCAGTTGGACAGCTTGGGCTCAAAAGCCAACTTTGCCATAACACTGTATGCACAACCCTGACAGTCACATAGTGAACCCCTCCTGACTTTGCTAGCCTGTTGCTGAACAGATTTGAAAAGGAGATTTGCGTGTCTTGGGACTGACAGAAGTTAGAGCATGAACATGCAGGCAACTCTGCCCTTGATTCATTCGAGGTCAAGTCTCATCCTACTCTTGGCAAGGACGTATCATTATCGAAGTTCCTTCTTGCATTGAACAACGCACATTTAGGTAGGTGAGCCTTGCTCTTGCAGCTGCGGATCTGCAGTGTTCTTAGGTGCTCCTGGGAATCATCATTTCCCTGATTGTGAACTGCACCTTGGCCTTCAGCTCAGATACATTCAGCACACGTGGCTTTCCGCGTTGATTTATGGCAGGGCGTGAAATTGTGCAGCCCGAGAGCTGGGAGTCATCTCGATTTGTGGAGCTTCCAGGTGGAGATCAGCATCAGCAGCTTCTTCTCGCTCTACTTTGGCTTCCTGTTTATCGTGGTGGCGCCCTGAGGGAGCTGCTGCTTGCAACTGGCAATAGTTTGGCAGGTGATTGCCATGACTTGTTTGCATTTTGGACGCATGACAGAAGGCATGAAGGGCTGGACAATGCTCGATCTTGTACACAGGGTTGTATTAGCTCTCGACGCTGGAGGGTCTCATCCCCCAACGAATTCAGGACAACGGCTAGCCTTGAAAGGCACAGCCAGGTATTGGAGTTCATCTTCGCCAATCTGCTCGGCTGCTCGTCCCAGGTGGGTGGCATCATCATTTGGCGCATCTTCAGCCAAGATGCCGCGTACCACAAAGAGCCATCGGCCCAGAGAGTTTCTTCAGCGGCTTGCGTCAGCTTACCCCAAATGGACAGTCTTGTTTCTTGATTTGTTGGTTGATCATTGGCTGTGGGCGGCCTTTTCATTCAGTTATCAGGAGTCCGCGACGCTGGTTCAACCGCCAAGCCGTTAAAGCTAGGCACCAACAGCAGGGTGCCTGACGAGCAAAGATTGAGGCTTGCGAGTTGGATGAATTGCTGACCTTGAGCAACGAGTTTCGTTTAGCCCAACGGTTGATAGACAAACGATCTTCATGCTTTAAAAACATGCGTATCCCCATCATGTTTGACCTAAGTGAATTCGGAGTGCGCCGATGACCAAAGCAAGCCAGAGATTAGCATGTTGACATGTTATGGTTGTGAGACCAGAAAAAAGAGCGCAAAGTCCTCGCAGTCACTTTTTTCTGCTTTCATGCCTGATAATGCATGATTTTTCTAAGGCGGAGACATCCTAAGGTCCAATCCACCAAATAGATGTATGATATAAGCGTATGAGGGGTGTTCCAAGTGGCAACATTTGGGGCTTTCTGCTCGATGGCATTGAAGCGGAAACAGCATGCAACCAATTTCAGGGGACATCGATCTGGCCCAGGAGTAGGGCAAGAAGTTTTTTAGTTTGGCAAGGAGATTTCGTTTCTGTGGCATACGTGGGATTACTCCCTAGATGACAAGTAGAGCTGGATGTGGGAGTTAAAGATAAGCATGTCAATGTAATGTGAGAAGGCTTTCATATGAAGCCACAATGCAGACACGCACAGAACAAATGTGTCTGTCGTGTGTGTGTGTGTGTGTGTGTGTGGGTGCGCGCGTGCATGCGTGCGTGCGCGCGCGCGCGCGCGAGCGTGCGTGCGTGCGTGTGACGTGTGTGTTTGTGTATGTGTGTGCGTGTCATGATATGTTATACTTACACACACACACACACTGCACGCGCCTCCGTAATTAGCTTTTTTGCCACCCATTTAATCTCTTTCCCCTAATATTAAATGCGGACCCCCCCCCCCCTATTAGTAAATCAGCCTCCGGGGCGAAACGTATTTATTAATAGGGTCCTTTTGGGTGTGAGTGGCTTTCCGAGACAAAGACATTTATCCCTTGAAGCGGTCATAAAATCGATCTTTTGCTATGGTTTGTAGTGCAAAGTTTGAAAGGGACAGACGTTTGTCTTTGGATTGGCTTGGGTTAGCACAGATTCGTGCAAGATAATTAAAGGAGACAGACGCCGAGGGTGTCACATCTTTCGCTCGGGTCCTGCACTAATTACCCACCCCCTAATACGGCTGGGGCTGGTCTGCGTGAGAAATCCGAGAGTTTAGTATTGGTTTTGAATTGGCCTATTCTAAAAGTAGCATTGGGACCCGGCGGTCCGGGAAAAATATAATTTATTAATAGGGTCCTTCTATTAAAAGGGGGAAGAGATTACTTGTACTTTGTTTGGCATCTTGCAAACCTGTAGTACTTTCTTTTCATGGAACAGAAGTGACATGTGTCCAACCGTTT